ATGCCTGTATTGGAGCTTCAGTTGACATTTTCATTTCAATTTCTTTCCACCTAGCAGAGTAGGAGGGATTACATAAATTCAGCAAAGGCTTTATTTACACTGCTTGATAGTAACTTTTTAAGCACGGGAGAGCTATCCCCCCTTCGCCTTAGGCAGTGGTAGTGTTTTATATATTATTCTAGGTTGTTTTCCTTGCCAGATATATCTTGAGATAATTTTGTCCCTTTCTGTAAATTCCTTGTCCAGTATCTCCACTGGAAGATTCTGAAATAGGTATAACACCCTGGGGAGAACATTGATTTTGACCACCTCAACTCTAGATGTAAGAGTCATAAAGGGGATTAAATTCCACCTCGCAATGTCTTCTTTTATTTTGGATATTAATGGGTCATAGTTTGCTGATTTCAATTGGCTAATATCTTTTGTTAAATTAACTCCAAGATATTTCATTGATTTTAAATTCCACTTAATTTCATAATTTTCTTTAACAGCTTCAGAGGGGCTATAATTGAAAGTGAGGACTTGTGTTTTCTGTGCATTTATTTTGTAGCCGGACATTTGTCCAAACTTTGCAAATCCTTCCATGAGTACTGGCAGGATGTATTGGGTCTAGACAATACGCATGGGAGTGGCAAAATGACTCGCTAGCGCCACCTAGAAAATTTGAAAAAATTTGCCCCTCGTCCACGTTCAACCTACATGCACGAAATATTCTGGGGACATGTATCATATCAAGACGCACAAAAAAACCTCAAGAAACCATATCCTAAACTCAGCAGGAAGTTGGCCATTTTGAATTTTATGGTCATTTTTGGATGATTTACACACTTCGTACTTTAACAAACTCCTCCTAGGGATTTTGTCCGACCGACTTCAAATTTGTGCTGTGCCTTCTAAAGGCACTGAAGATGAAAAGTTGTGCTATCTGTGAGTTTTCGTCAATGGGCGTGTCCGTGGCGTGGCGTCAAAGATCAACTCTTCGCCATGACACAGGAAGTTGTTGTAACTTCAGTGTACATGCTCACATCTGAACCAAACTTTACGTGCTTGATAACTCTCCCGCGCTGCTATGGAGGACCGATCCTGACACAGTCAGAAATAAATACAGAAATAAATAAATGCTCAATAAATAAATAAGCATCCAATTAAATACACAAAAAAATAAAGTAAATAAATAAATGTAGGTAGTAATTAAATTATACAAGGAGATATAAATGTATATATTTTAATTAGCGCCTTTACTTATTCACCTTTGTAATAATTACCTTATTTATTTATTGTCCGTTATAATCTTCAACTTTATTTATTAATTACTTATTTTTTAAATGTATTTATTTATGTGTGTGTTTTAATATTTTTGTCTGTTTTATTCTTCCTTTGTATTTTTTTTACCTTATTTGTTTTCACCCATGGTATTTATTTCTGCCTGTCCTTTTTACATTTCTGTATGCATTTCTGCTTCATTATGCAAATGAGGAGGGGCTGTGTCCAAAGGGGTCATCTTCTCTCCTATTGGTGGACCAGTCAGACAGGAGAGCTCTAGGCCTACTCTGCCTGCAGACATCAACGATCTTGCCCCTCATACAGTGAGATGGCTATTTAATTGGATGCTTATTTATTTATTGAGCATTTACTTATTTCTGTATTTATTTTATTTTTGTTATTTTATGTGAAGGAGTAAAGGATAGCCATGGCCCCTGCCAGGCTATGGTGTTAGGGAGTGACAAAGCGACTGGGCCGAGGTAGAGAGAGAGCAGGTGAAGCGGTGAGCATGGAGCAGCTCAGCCTGTAGGGAGGGAGGCTGATTTACACTGGGGACGCTGTGGACACGGAGCCACCCCTTTTTGAAAGCATTTGTTAAAAATGTTCTGAAAAACAGCTTGCACCAAGAAATATTAAAATGCTATGAGAAAGGTTTATTTGCACAGTAAGCTTGCAGTGGAAATATAGAAGAAACCTGTGTTGTCCAAAAAAAGACACTTAGGCTGAAAACAATAAGATGGCCGGTGTGACGACTTCCCCCAGTCATCCTGCCTGTGTGTGTCTTCTCTGCTTGCAGATTCTGGGTGTGGCTTGTAGGTGGAGCTGGCAGGGTCTAATGCATGTACCTGCCCCTCTGGTTTGGGCTTCCTAGAGGGCATAAAAGGGCTGCCTTTCTAGGAATCAGTCTCTCTGCTGGGCTGCTGCTTCAACCTCAGCCTTTGTTCATTTGTTTAATTTGCTGCACCCACCAACATGCATTACACTTCATTCTCACTCATCCGCACACTTCTGATATGACTGTTCCTCATATCTATCCACACCATCAACTCTGTTAAATAAACTACTTTTGTTCCTATTATGTGTGTGAGGCCTCACCCCCAGTGAAAGTGATCTTTCACTCAGCAGCTACCAGCTGTTATTTATTCAGGAACCAATCATTTTTCTGATGCGCAGAGAGGAAATATGGTGGATAAAACCGTCCTGTTGGGCTTTACGCATGACGCACAGCTTCCTCTGTATGCAGGTTTACCTGCTTCAGCAACAAGCTGCTCCGTGTTACTGCCACAATCATTCTTTGTTCTAAAGATTAGTTAGATGCTTTAGGAATAATCCGATTGTTTCGGCTGCCTGTGCTGCTGCAAAGCAACAAGTTTGGTTTCCTGCATGTCTGTAAGACAACAGGAAAACTAAAAGATATGCAAATTATTTTATTCCTTCTGCCATCAGGCTTTTAAATACTGCTGACAGCAGCAACTAGACATGTGCCAGACATTGTAAGCCCCTCTATTTATTATTTAGTTTGGTATTAGCTTATCTCTTTGAACTATGTGCCCTGCTTAGTCCATGTATTGTGACCTGGGTATTCGCTGCTTTGTTCTGGTGCCCAAATGCAATGTCATTGGCAGGGTTTGTCAGTGCTTGTTTTCGTCTTGTTTAATACGACTGGTATGCTAAAACTGAATTGCCCTACGGGGATTAAACAATCGTGGCTGGGTAGCAAGCTGATATTTTAAACAGCTTGATATTAAACAGCTAAATTACAGATAATCAACCAGCAAATCAGATTGCTTTCCCTGGAAATAACCTGTAACTTTTACTGGAGTAAGTTTTTTTTGTTGTTGTTTGTCTTTTACTTTTTTGGGAGTAATTGTACTTTTCCTTGAGTAAAGATTTTGAGTACTCTCCCCGCCGCTGGCCAGCAACACCAGTACAAGCTCTGCCATGGTGAACATGAGACAGAGCAGAGATGAGGGCAATAACAGAGTCAGAGCAGCAGTTTATGGTAAGACTGATGATGATATGGCTTTTTTTATTTATTTATTGTACTCGAGGGCTCAGCAGAGATGATTTCTTTACTTCAGGAGAGTTAGAGAGGAGTTTCTAGTTTTGAAGATGTATTTTAAAGGCTCATTTAGTTTATGTTCTCTACTTGGATAAAACTCTCAAGAATGCAGGAATAAAGGTCTGTAAAGACCCAGAGGCCCCGACACATGCTCTGTCTGGAGAGCGGGCTGACCAGGGACAAACTCCTGGGCCACTTGTTCGCCCCTGACCGTCCTCGACCTTAGAAACTTGTGTGGAGACAGCTAGGAGACATACGGTCTATTCTAAAACTCACGTAGTAAAAGACTTTGTTAGACCAACGGCATGTCATCAGAGTTTGCACTGAAGACATTTCTGCGTTCACAAACGTGTTGCAGGGAGAGTCAGGGCCAAGAGAGACAGGAAATATCACAGCTCCCAAGTGTAACGTTACGTGAATACATTTGAGCTGTGGCTACATTAACTAGCAGCTGTTCCATCTTTTTATGGTGTGCAGTCAGTTTTGTTGTAGTTATATTATTCTCTGTCAATTCAGTTCAAATCAGCTTTATTGGCATGAATGTAGAATAACAATATCGCCAAAGCTCCGTCTCTGACTGTGCTCCTGAGACTTCATAATCTCCCCTCCCCAGTCTGTTCTCCATCTTCTCTCACTGCACATCTCAAACCTCTTTCAGTCACACTAATAAGCACATTCTGTTTTCAAAGGTCATTAGAAATGAGCATTTAAGTGCTTTATTTTCTCTTTACAATCGGGGAGACATGCCTCCAAACCCCCCTCAGCATTTCAGCGCCCCCTACGCCCCTGTATATGTCTCTATTTCAGAGCTGTTCATACTGTTTCATATTGTAGATAGTGTATACCAGATCCACCTACCTGAAGTAAATAACACCTGCACATAATACTTAGCTATTCCAGCATCCTTTGCACTGTGTACGTGTACATGTATGCATGTATGTGTACCTATATATCACATCCACCTCCGACATGTACATCATAATAATAATAATTTACTCCTGCGTCCTTTGCACTCTGCTCACTGCACTATTGTCTTAATCTGTCTATATGGTTTCTGTTTATAGTCTGTATATTTGTGTTCTCTATACTGTAGTCACCAGCAGGGTCTTTGTTTGCCTCCATAACAGGCACCGATGACCTGCTGGCCACCACTTTGAGCAGCTGAGCTCAGCCGGGGGCTTGTCAGTATCTCCACACCCACGTGGCGTCCTCCACCCTGGCAGCTCCTTCAAAGGAGAGAGTCCAGCCCCTATCCCTGTTAGAGTTGTTGGAGCATTTTCTAAGCAGCTTTTTCCTCTGGGTTCCAGATCTTCTTAGAACATTAAGACAGAATGAAAAGTGTTGAACTTGTTTGTGTGCAGAGCAAAGATTGTGGAGTAGCTGAGCAGAAGGAACAGAGCAGAGAAATCTGCAGATGATGATGTTGTGCTGTTGTTTGGAAACATGTTGAAAGTGTTCAGACGTGGAGAACAAGTGTGACAGAGTATTAAATGGAAATGTGCTGGTGAACTTGCTGCAGTCTGTGCTGGTAGAAAGATGTGTTCTGTTGTTAATGATGAACTGATGTTGGAGTTGTGCTGAGTCCACCTTGAATCACTGAATTGTTGTTTCATGACATGTTTTTCTTTTGTGTCTGCTGTCTTTATCTCTATTTCATCTTCTATCATCTCTCCAGACTCTGTCAGGCTGCTGGACGGGACTAGTCTGTGCTCAGGCAGACTGGAGGTGAAGTCTAACCAGAGGTGGTCCTCAGTGTGTGAAGCTGACTTTGACCAGCAGGATGCAGAGGTGGTCTGTAGGGAGCTTGGCTGTAGGGCTCCTTCAGTCCTCCAGGGGGCGCTCTATGGAGAAGTGGAGGCTCCGATGTGGACCAAAGAGTTCCAGTGTGGAGGCCATGAGTCTGCTCTCCTGGACTGTAGAAGCTCAGGCTCCGCTAGAAACACCTGCTCACCTGGAAAAGCTGTTGGACTCACCTGCTCAGGTAGAAGAGGAGCTGCAGCTTTGATTTGCTTCTTTTCTCTTCTGATGAAACTCACTTTATTGTTTTACTGATGACTCTCTGGTTTCTGTTCAGAGCCTGATGATGTCAGGTTGGTGGGAGGAGCCAGTCGCTGTGCAGGAACACTGGAGGTGAAACATAAGGGAGTCTGGAGACCAGTGGATTACTCTGTCTCTGTCTGGACCCTGGAGACAGCAGCTGGTGTCTGTAGAGAGCTTGACTGTGGCTCTGCTGTTTCTGTAGGAGAGAGAAAGGAGTCCTTACGCAGACCTGTGTGGAGGATCAAGTCTGACTGTGTTCAGTCTGGATCTGCTCTGAGGGAGTGTGTAACATCATATTCCTCTTCCTTCATCGTGGATCTCACCTGCTCAGGTAAGCCCATCAGTGACATCATCTATGATATCATGTCTGACAGTAATGTCCCCAGGTTGACTCACACTCAGCAGCTAGAATGGCAGCAGACTGTCTCTGGCAGCCATGAAGGAGTCTGATGAGCTGCTGCCTCAGTAAATCAGGAGCTGAATGCACCAAGATATATATATGTACATATGAAACATGTCTGCTGCTTCAGGGGGCCCCGGGGCCAACCACCAACCAGCCTGAAAGGACTCCTCCTTCAGCTTGACGGCTTTCTTAGCCACTGGTTTCCCCCAGCAGGCTCTTTGGTTGTCTCCATAACAGGCACCAGTGACCTGCTGGCCACAACTTTGAGCAGCTGAGCTCAGCCGGGGGCTCGTCAGTATCTCCACACCCACGTGGCGTCCTCCACCCTGGCAGCTCCTTCAAAGGAGAGAGTCCAGCCCCTATCCCTGTTAGAGTTGTTGGAGCATTTTCTAAGCAGCTTTTTCTTCTGGGTTCCAGATCTTCTTAGAACATTAAGACAGAATGAAAAGTGTTGAACTTGTTTGTGTGGAGAGCAAAGATTGTGGAGTAGCTGAGCAGAAGGAACAGAGCAGAGAAATCTGCAGATGATGATGTTGTGCTGTTGTTTGGAAACATGTTGAAAGTGTTCAGACGTGGAGAACAAGTGTGACAGAGTATTAAATGGAAATGTGCTGGTAGAAAGATGTTTTCTGTTGTTAATGATGAACTGATGTTGGAGTTGTGAGTCCACCTTGAATCACTGAATTGTTGTTTCATGACATGTTTTTCTTTTGCGTCTGCTGTCTTTATCTCTATTTCATCTTCTTTATCTCTCCAGACTCTGTCAGGCTGCTGGACGGGACTAGTCTGTGCTCAGGCAGACTGGAGGTGAAGTCTAACCAGAGGTGGTCCTCAGTGTGTGAAGCTGACTTTGACCAGCAGGATGCAGAGGTGGTCTGTAGGGAGCTTGGCTGTGGGGCTCCTTCAGTCCTCCAGGGGGCGCTCTATGGAGAAGTGGAGGCTCCGACGTGGACCAAAGAGTTCCAGTGTGGAGGCCATGAGTCTGCTCTCCTGGACTGTAGAAGCTCAGGCTCAGCTAGAAACACCTGCTCACCTGGAAAAGCTGTTGGACTCACCTGCTCAGGTAGAAGAGGAGCTGCAGCTTTGATTTGCTTCTTTTCTCTTCTGATGAAACTCACTTTATTGTTTTACTGATGACTCTCTGGTTTCTGTTCAGAGCCTGATGATGTCAGGTTGGTGGGAGGAGCCAGTCGCTGTGCAGGAACACTGGAGGTGAAACATAAGGGAGTCTGGAGACCAGTGGATTACTCTGTCTCTGTCTGGACCCTGGAGACAGCAGCTGGTGTCTGTAGAGAGCTTGACTGTGGCTCTGCTGTTTCTGTAGGAGAGAGAAAGGAGTCCTCAGACAGACCTGTGTGGAGGATCAGCTCTGACTGTGTTCAGTCTGGATCTGCTCTGAGGGAGTGTGTAACATCATATTCCTCTTCCTTCATCGTGGATCTCACCTGCTCAGGTAAGCCCATCAGTGACATCATCTATGACATCATCTCTGACAGTAATGTACCCAGGTTGACTCACACTCAGCAGCTAGAATGGCAGCAGACTGTCTCTGGCAGCCATGAAGGAGTCTGATGAGCTGCTGCCTCAGTAAATCAGGAGCTGAATGCACCAAGATATATTTATGTATATATGAAACATGTCTGCTGCTTCAGGAGGCCCCGGGGCCAACCACCAACCAGCCTGAAAGGACTCCTCCTTCAGCTTGACGGCTTTCTTAGCCACTGGTTTCCACCAGCAGGGTCTTTGGTTGTCTCCATAACAGGCACCAGTGACCTGCTGGCAGTGTTGGGAGGGTTACTTTAGAAATGTAATCAGTAACGTACCACAAAATAAAAGTAATGTAATCTGATTACTTTGAGTTACTTTTGGATTACTTCAATGCCAAATAGGTTAATTTAAGAGGATCAGTGATGTGTTGTCTGCTCAGGGGATTTTTAGTGAAACATACAACAAAATCCTCCATTCCCAAAGTCCATGTTTAAATGTATTATATGATTTGCTTTGCACTATGTCACCACTGTGGCAGTTTCTGACCCATCAGTGACAAAAAATGTGTTTTGTAGGTGTCGTTGATGATATTTAAGAGTTTGTCATTTTAAAACGTCGATGACTCATTCTGCACTTCTGTTAGCGTCCAATGCAAAGATTTCTCAACCAGACGCTGCTGAAGCAGCTGAGTGTATCTGGGCCCGGGCCCCACTGATTACTGCACAGAAAAAACTTTATTCACTGATTTTGGTGTAACTGGATCATATTTAATGGATAAATATCAGAAATGGGAATAACGGAGGGACAAGATGGCGTCGTAGAGTAAGCACTGTTGCTGAGTGAACTCCGGTGGCATTTGTCAGTTTATATTACTTCTTTACTAGGTGAAAAGTAGGGGACAGTGAGGGAGAGCTAACATTAAGTGCCGCATCTCAGATGCCGAGTTTGGGTGCTAACTCCGGCTCTATGGAACCAGGTATTGTTCAAGCCCTGGACAGAATAACTGATAACCTTACTAAAGTAATCGACACCAAGATTTCCACTGTGTTGGAGGCAAATAAAGAACAGACCTAACAGCTGGTGGGCGAAGCAGAGAAACGGATTGCTGATGTGGAGGCCGTAGCGACGTCGTTGGAGGTTGCTGACCTAACTAGGACGACCCCACACGCAAGGGGCCCAGGATTTCCTTCTTTAACATGGACATGGACTATGTGTTACTATATGCGGCTACTCTGAAGGTGACTGTGAACGGAACCCAGAGAAGATTTGACAATCCATATATGTATGTGCGTATAACGTTGTATGTTTATGTATGGGTCGATTTTGTTCATGCACCAAGTTACGGCCGCTGTGAGCAAGCATAGGTTTTTGTTTATTCTATGGGTGAGTGCCAAGGGAAAACAGGGTACAGCTTCATTAGTCTATTAGCGACAGATCTATTTCTGTTTTTTAATGAGGTTTGTGCAGAGAGCGGGGTGGAAGAAGTTTATAAAGCCCTGCAAGTCAGGTGGCAGAGACAGGCCCCATTGTATTTGTGCTTTTTTGTTTTTGTATAATAGTTCCTGTTCAGATTTGTTCGCCCAGCTCAGCGACTGTTTGTATTGTGCAGTTTCAGGCTTTTGCTCTTTGTGAGTTATGTATCTATATAGAGGGTCAGCTTGATCGGTATGGCAGGTAATAAACTACGCTTGTGTACATGGAATGTAAGAGGGGTCCATAGTCCTATTAAAAGAAGGAAAATGGTTACCTTTCTGAAAAGAGAACACATTGATATTGCACTTTTACAAGAAACACATTTGGATGATGTAGAACACCTGAAATTACAGCAGGGTGGGATTGAGCAGGTATTTTAATCCTTGTGAGGAAGAATCTTCCCTTTTCGATAATAGTGTGTTAAAGACAAAAATGTTGGATATGTTATAATCAAGGGGATCTTACAAGGCACTATTATTTACGTATTGAATATTTATTACCCCCCTGCTCACCTGTCAGATTTTATAACTAAAGTATTCTTGGATTTTTCAGAGATTCGCTCAGCCATTTCCATAGTGGGTGGGGATTGTAATTGTATACTGAATCCCCTCATTGACAGACTCCCCCACAGAGCTTCATTTCTTTAATCACAAGCTAAATCACTCACTTCTATATGTGAAGATTTAGGGTTTGTTGATGTATGGAGGAAAATCCATCCCCTGGATAAAGGGTACACTTTTTTCTCAGCACCCCATGGGTGTCATACTAGGATTGATTACTTTTTTTTACCTGGGCTGTCTTTACATTCAGTCTTGTCTTGTGTAATAGGCAGTATAAATAGTCATTTCAGACCATGCCAACGTGGTGCTGGATCTTTCTCTGAAGGGTATAGGGAATAGAGTAAAATACTGGAGACTGAATACAACTATGTAAAAAGACCATACTTTAGTATCCTATTTCAATAATGGGTTTAAATATTTTCTTTCTGTTAACTCTCAGTCAACAGATGACCCTTCCCTCCTGTAGGAAATTATTAAGGCAAATGCCAGAGGGGTTTTTATTTCACTATCAGCAATAAGCGGCGGCAGAAATTGAGGAGGCAAAATTTCTTGATGAATGAGCAAGGGAAAGACTATATGTTGATTCTCCAACTGCTGCTTTATTGCAAGAAAAATATGCAGTCAGATCAACCTTAGATAACCTCCTTACTCAGGATGAAGAGACCAAACTAAAGTTTACTAGACAAAGATTTTATGAGCATGGGAATAAACCTGGAAAATATTTGGCATAGCTTGTTGTAAAAAAGATCCGAATCACAATCCATTGCAGCCATTCATGATGCTCAGGATAATCGCATATATGACAAGTCCATACCTTCAAGGAATTTTATTGTCGACTGTATACATCTGAACAACTGGATGACACACTTGACTTAATGGAAGATTTCTTTTCTCAGCTCAGTCTGCCTACTATATCGGCAGAGCAGCAAGGCAATCTTAAAGCCCCCATTTCCAGAGAGGAAGTATTGACTGTGTTACGGCCTCCGCCATTATCTGTGTACAGGTGCTGGTCATATTATTAGAATATTGTCAAAAAGTTGATTTATTTCAGTAATTCCATTCAAAAAGTGAAACTTGGATATTATATTAATTCATTACACACAGACTATTTGAAATGTTTATTTCATTTAATTGTGATGATTAAAACTGACAACTAATGAAAATCCCAAATTCAGTATCTCCGAAAATTAGAATATTACTTAAGACCAATACAAAAAAGGATTTTTAGAAATGTTGGCCAACTGTAAAGTATGAACATGAAAAGTATGAGCATGTACAGCACTCAATACTTAGTTGGGGTTCCTTTTGCCTGAATTACTGCAGCAATGCGGCGTGGCATGGAGTCCATCAGTCTGTGGCACTGCTCAGGTGTTATGAGAGACCAGGTTGCTCTGATAGTGGCCTTCATCTCTTCTGCATTGTTGGGTCTAGCATATCGCATCTTCCTCTTCACAATACTCCATAGATTTTCTATAGGGTTAAGGTCAGGCGAGTTTGCTGGCCAATTAAGAACAGGGATACCATGGTCCTTAAACCAGGTACTGGTAGCTTTGGCACTGTGTGCAGGTGCCAAGTCCTGTTGAAAAATGAAATCTGCATCTCCATAAAGTTGGTCAGCAGCAGGAAGCATGAAGTGCTCTAAAACTTCCTGGTAGACGGCTGCGTTGACCTTGGACCTCAGAAAACACAGTGGACCAACAGCAGCAGATGACATGGCACCCCAAACCATCACTGACTGTGGAAACTTTACACTGGACTTCAAGCAACGTGGATTCTGTGCCTCTCCTCTCTTCCTCCAGACTCTGGGACCTTTATTTGCCAAAGGAAATGCAAAATGTACTTTCATCAGGCGAGACGCTTCTGAATGAATGAATGAATGAATCCTTTACTTGTCCCACAGTGGGGAAATTGCAAGAAATTATGCCTCCGGGCCGCAGCTATATTCCGCGCCGCCACTCACTTCCCAGAAAAGAATTAATTAGTATGGTGCGAATAAGATAATGAGTCTGTGTTTGTGAAGTATGAGGCTTCAGACTGACTATGTTGTTAAAAAGAAAAGTTCAGTTCATTGGCCTTGTCATTAAGGAGAGATAAACCAATGCGCAGGAGAAGATAGGAAGGCCAGCTGCAAGTTGTTTTCCCGCTCGGGTGAAGGAGGGGAGGGGGAGGGAAGGGGCACTAAGACAATAATTTTTAATCCAATTTAGGTTGATTCGTTAACATTTAGCATCAGTGTCCTTCAATTGCTCTCATACGTGCATCCAGTTCATGTAGTGATTTCGACATTTCTTCTAATTTCATTGTCAGACCAGTGGTTACTCTCAGCAGCTCACCAGACTGCGCCCCGATGGTGTCAATCCTCCTCTGCGCTTCCACAGACAGGTCTGACATGTTACGAAACAGTTCACCGTTCTGATCAGCCTTTTGATGTAAAACCTTCAGCTTGTCGTTCACCCCATTTAAGCACTCTTAAAGTTCCCCAGACAGCTTTTGGGTAAATTTACTGGCGGCTGTCTTACCAATTTTACGATATATTAGGGAGATTCCAAGCCTGGTAATCAGGAAGCCCATTAACAAAATTCCAATTATCCATAAATCCAAAAATGTCCTCCACAGATAAAACATCCAAGCAAACCGCTTGTCAGGTCTCCCACGAGTCGCGAGCGTAGCCTGCAGCGAATGTTCCACTGGGACAGTTCGGCTCACCCGGTGAAGCACGTCTCTGGGTGAAAATCTTGTCAATAGCGCTGAGTGACCAGTTGATTAATTCCATTTTGATGGTTTCAGGAGAACAGTAGGCAGGTGGTCCAAAGAGAAAAGTTTCCACACGACCAAAGTAGACAGAAAATAGGAGCAAGCCAAGATAAGAGGGGAGTGTAGGAAAAGCACGACTGCTCTCTACAGTAGCAGGAAGTATGCTGTGTCTTGTTCA